GATTCCAGTGTAATGTTGGTTGGTCCAGAATCACTAGAGCTATAGGAAGAGCAGGATGTTACCTCAACATCATTGGAGTGATCATTTGCCATAAAGCATCTAGGTGAGCTGCTTCCTTCATCAGTTTGCCTTTCATTGGTGGTAGGCTCTTGGAGCCGGCGACTGTCTTCCTCAGTAGTCTGTCAGGCTCCAAGACATAGTAGTGCTTCTTCTGAGCTTTCAGATGAAGAACTTTCATCACTTGAGCTACTTTCTTCATCACTGTGGGAGTCGTCCTTCTTCTTTTCACTTACAAAGGCTTGTCGTTTACCTTTGAAGTCCTTCTTATATCCAGCTTTTTGAGTAGTGGTCTGCTGCTCATGATATTTATGTGTCAATGGAAGAGGGCACTCATTCTTGTAGTGTCCTAGTTGTCTATAGTTATAACATAGGACAATATCCTCACTGGATTGAGATCTCCCTTGTCTTCTGGGAGGCTGATTGTATGGCTTCTTTGGGACATATCCCTCCTTCTTCATAAACCTTTTGAACTTCCTCACAAACATTGCAAATTGTTCATCAGTGAGGAGGTTGTTGAGGGGTTTCTCGGTAGATTTTGATGTGCTTGGTTCAGACACTAGAGCTAGTGTCTTGGATTCTTCTTCCTTTTCATCCTTGATTTCCTTCATCTCAAACTCATAAGCTTTGAGATCACTGAGAAGTTTTTCAGTTGAAAGACTTCTGAGATCTCTGCTAAGTGTTTACAACTGTTTTATGATTTACAAGAAAACTGGTCTCCGACTAAGAACTAAACTTCCAGAATATAGCAATGAGAAATTCTAACTTGGAAGTTTAGTGAAGCATGAGTCTAAGCAGAGAGCAAAGTTAAACAAACACTTTCTCTTTTGCTAGATATCTCTTGAATACTTTAGTAAGATTTTCTCTACTTAGATGACTCAAAAACTTACTTAGAACTCATGCTTCAGCCTATATTTATAGGCTTCTCTAGTTTGATTGATCTAATCCGTTGGTTAAGATGATTCAATCTCTGACGTTGAAGGTGTTGACTTTGTCTTCTTGTGCTGGAGCCGATCTTGGTGATTTCCTTTGTCTTTCACTGATGAGCCGTTGAAAGATCACTTCAGGATCAAATTAATGATTTATTGTGTGCGTCCCATGATCTAGGCCCCATGTACGATTTTAGCATTAAATGCCTATCAAAGTTTGTCTTCAATCATACACATGCAGTGTATATGATATTCATACTTTATTTATTTTTTTGTGACAATATTAATTTTTGAGTTAAATAAATGTATACCGGTAGGATTCAAATATCCTATTAAGGTAAAAATTACCTTATTGCGTTTTGAGTTTCCGGTATAATTTTATTAGGCACAAAACTTGTACATTTATTTGTCACTTATGATTAATTTTGAACACTGACACTCAAAGTAAATAAGACACAAAGTACAAGAGCAATGTATAGTGGCATCATCAAAATCTATCAAAATTGGGTACTAAAAATTTCCCCCCTTTTGATGATGCCAAAACTATACAACTCAGGAACCAAATATTTTTATTTATCAATCATGAGAATGGTACATTGTTCTTAAAATCTAAAGTACAATAGTTTTAGTCACTTTCGGACTGTTGGTCAAGTCTGCTCTTGTTGACATCTTCTAACTTCTTCTTGGACTCTTCTCTTGCTTTGGCTTCTTCTTCTTTTCTTCTTCGGATTTCCCTTTCCTCTTGGTAGAGTTTGTTCTTTCTTCTTGTTTCGGCTGCCTTCTTGGCTGCTAATGATCTTGAGGAGGAGGAGGGGCCTGCTAGAGTTGTTCATTCCCCCCTTTTGGCATCATCTAGAAGAGGGGTGTGACTTTCTCCGAAGAGAGCTTCGATTTTCTCATCTGAGTCTTCATCTTCTTTTCTTCTGCTTGAGAGATTCAGGCCATAGATTGATACGGATAGGGAGTTAATGGTGTTGTTGATATCCACAAAATCGGTCTTCACTTCATCTCGTACTTCATTTTCCAAGTTTTGAAGCTTGTGCTTTGTGTGCTCCAAATCTTGTCCCAACTGCTGGAAGTCACTGCCTTGCTTCCAGAAAGTGTCTTGTGTTGCCTTTTGAAGAACTTTGAAGTCGTTCTCAATGGCCTTTTTTAATTGCTCACAGGCTTGAGCATGAGCCTGCTGCTCCACGAGAATTTTTTGGGAGAGTTTGAGCATGGCAGGGAACTCCTCGTGGTTTAGCTTGCTCAGGTACTCTTCATGCTCCTTTATCTTCAGAATCGCTTGTTCAAGATTAGGAGGTAAAGAAGGGAGAGAAGGTACCTGGGCAGAGGGCTCTGTTGCTGGTTGGGAGGCTGTTGCAATTTCTTGTTGTCGCAATTCTTTCAAAGATGCAATAATTTGGTTCTCCAGTTCCTCATCTCTGGCTCTTAGGGCAGCAAGTTCCATGTAGATCTCTTCTATTTGAGCTGGATGTTGAGAGAGTTGCATCTTTAGTTGAGCCTTTTGCTCAGAGTTGAAGACTTGTTGTATCATCAGGTTGCTTTTGAGGTGGCAGTGGACCTCAGCAAACCTCATGTCCAGTCTCTCATCAAGCTATTTCTTGAGCTTAATGAGTCTCTTGTGTAGACGTGCCTCAGTGTTGCTTATGAATTTGGTGGTGGCACGTCTTTCTTGAATGAATACTTCTGCCATAGTTGGAGTGTTGTACTCTTCTTCAATTCGAGGTTCTTGGTTAAGGTCAAGTTGTGGAGTAGACTGCTCCATTGCTTTTGAGGTTTCTCCATTGTCATGTGTCGTCGGTCTTGATTTTTCCATAACACGCTGAAGTTCTTTGTCGCTTGAGGAGGAAGAGTGAATGATTTGTTTACCTTTTGAATGAGATGGCCCCTTTGGATCGTCATCATTATGATCATCATCATCATCCGTTGAGTCCTCAATTGGCTCCTTGGTGGTAAGTTGCCTTCTCTTTCTGGCATAAACTTGGTTGATCTTCAGGAGCCTTGTAGCGTCTGCCATGTCATCAGTTCCAAGCCACTCTACCACAATGTCTTCTTCATATATGAAGTTTGCTAGGGTCTCACATCCAACTTCTCTAGGGCTGTGAGATGTGGTGAGCTAACTGCTGGTGAGGGAGGTGTCTGCTGCTCGTCTGGATGAGCCACCTGCTCTTCAGCTCGAGGAGGCTGCTCTTCTGTTTCGTGTAGTCTTGGTATGAGCACAGAGAGAGGAATTGCAGAGTTGTTGGTTCCTTCTGAATTGCTTGAGGAGGGCCGGACTTCGTCATTGATGGTGGTGAGAGGAGAGACTTCTGCTTCGAGTTCTTCTTGTATATTTCTTGGAGGATCAGGTGTTGATTATGTTCTTGATTTCTTTGACTAGACTTCTTGACAACCTGATCTGAGTCTCTTAGCAGTTTTGGTCTTGATTCTGTTGAGGGTTGTTCGGATAAGCTCATTGGAGGAGACTTCTATTCCTGCTTGTATTTCTAGGGCTCCCACCTTTGAGGTTTGGAAGAGGATTTTCCTCCAATTTGATGGTTCCTTAATGGCTCTCAGAATCCCCTTCTTCTTTAGAAGCTCCTCAATTAGAAATCCATATCCTACCCATGAGAAGGTATGATCTTCTCCTCTCTCTTTGTGTGATTTGTTGACATAATCTTGGAGTTGATTGTAAACATACCTTGATCAATTGTGTGTGGACCCTGAGATTATGGCAGCCAGTGGAATTGCCCTTTTTGCGTTCATCTCGTCTAGTGTTGTGCTCTTGTTGTCAATGCATTTGGGCATTCTAATCCTGATGCATTTCACGGTCACGGTTTCTAGCACAACTACTTGTCTCTCTCGCAGGTTTCATTGAAAAATTTCACCGGGAACCGCCTCAAATGGCATCGAGCGGACAGAAACTCATATATAAGGTCTTACTTGACATTTTTTGAAAGTTGAAGCTTATCTGTCCCTCCTAAATACAGTGCTTATACCGTGGTACCGGTGCATGGTGAGCACCATGCACCCTTTGTTATTTTTTATTTCTCATTTTCTAAAAATTGTTAATAATTTTTTTATTTTTGATCCGATTTTTATAAAATTTATACCAAATTTTTTTATTTTTCATGATCTTTCAAATGAGACCAATATTGCCTATGTAATTTTAATTTTTTACATTCATACATTTTTTTGTAATATATTTTTATATGCATACACTTTTTCTATAATATTTTTTTTATCACTTTTATATGTTTTAGAGGTTTTTAAGATATTAAGTTTGTTTATTTTGCTTCTAGCTTGGAGTTACATTTGATACTATACGAAGTTATCATCTTATACTCCAGTTACAAGTTATTATGTGTGAGTTACATCTTGTTATGTGTGAGTTACATCTTGCTATACATGAGTTACATACTTTTATGCGAGAGTTACATGTAATTATGTGTGAGTTACATCTTGTTATGTGTGAGTTACATCTTGTTATACACGAGTTACATACTTTTATGCGCGAGTTACATTCAATTATGTGTGAGTTATATCTAATTATTTGTGATTTTTTACTTATCTTTATCTTGAACTAATTCAATTATAACTGAATTAATTTTTTTCTTTGCCAATTTAATACAAATTTTTATTAATCCACATAAAATAAGTATATTGTATTTCATATTCATACACTATTTTTCAAATGATAAAAATGAAAGATGTAGCAGGGGTTTATTTCATGGTGTAACTCACATACATTAAGATGTAGCTCGTGTATATTAAGATGTAACTCGCGTACAATAAGATGTAACTCGCGCAGAAGATGTAACTTCATGATATATTATCAAATGTAACTTCAAAATAATTTGTTATGATTACATAAGCAATATTGGTTTCATTTGATAGATCATGAAAAAAAATTGATATAAAATTTATAAAAATCGGATATCAAATAAAAAAGTTATTACAATTTTTAACAATAAAAGATAAAAAAAATAGTGAATGCGCTTCGTTATGGGATGAGTCCCACCATCCTCGTGAATAAATGGCCTCCTAAATAAAATTTCATGATTTCTTCCAAAAAAACGGCATTGGGGATTGATCCATTCAATTTCTCCACTGCATTTTCTCAACTGTGTACACATGGGGTTTCCCACGACTTATCTGCTTTCCTCCCATTTCTTCTCCGGTGGAACCCTGCTATTCATCGCACCCCATATCCCCAAACCCTTTCCCTGTGCCCATCGGAAACTTCCATCGCCGCAATCAATTCTTAGCAAGAACCGACCGAAGAATAAGGCCACTCTGACTGCTGCTGCTGCTGCATTCATCTTCTCTTCCGTTAGTCCACATGCTTATGCCATCGATAATACTGCCCCGGCAGCTCCCCCCGTTTCGGCACAAGCTGAATCGCCTAAACCTGCCCCGTCTAGCTCCTCACCCTTCTCCCAAAGTCTTGTTTTGACTGCGCCCAACCCGCAGGTCCGACCAGTTTCCGACCTGCCAGAAGGATCGCAGTGGCGGTACAGTGAGTTCTTGCACGCGGTGAAGAAGGGAAAGGTTGAGAGGGTTAGGTTTAGCAAGGACGGCAGCGTTTTGCAGCTCACTGCCGTCGACGGCCGCAGAGCATCTGTGGTTGTGCCCAACGACCCGGATTTGATTGACATTCTGGCCATGAACGGGGTTGACATCTCGGTCTCAGAAGGCGATTCTGGTAACGGCCTTTTTGGCTTCATAGGCAATTTAATCTTCCCTGTCCTCGCCTTTGCCGGGCTTTTCTTGATTTTTAGGCGATCCCAGGGCGGTGTGGGCGGGCCTGGAGGACTTGGAGGGCCAATGGATTTTGGCCGGTCCAAATCCAAGTTCCAGGAAGTGCCGGAGACAGGGGTCACATTTGCTGATGTGGCGGGAGCCGATCAAGCGAAACTGGAATTACAAGAAGTGGTTGATTTCCTGAAGAATCCAGACAAGTACACGGCCTTAGGAGCAAAAATCCCCAAGGGATGTTTGCTAGTGGGGCCGCCGGGGACGGGGAAAACCCTGTTGGCGAGGGCGGTGGCGGGGGAAGCAGGAGTGCCGTTCTTCTCGTGCGCAGCATCGGAGTTTGTGGAATTGTTTGTGGGGGTCGGTGCTTCCAGAGTGAGGGATTTGTTTGAGAAGGCAAAGTCGAAAGCGCCGTGCATAGTGTTCATTGATGAGATTGATGCGGTGGGGAGGCAGAGGGGGGCGGGGATGGGTGGTGGGAATGATGAGAGAGAGCAGACTATCAATCAGCTCTTGACAGAAATGGATGGGTTCTCGGGGAACTCGGGTGTGATCGTTTTGGCTGCCACTAACAGGCCAGACGTTCTTGATTCTGCATTGTTGAGGCCGGGGAGGTTTGATCGGCAGGTGACTGTGGATAGGCCCGATGTTTCGGGTAGAGTTAAGATTCTTCAGGTTAGTACAGTTGTGGTTTACAAACTCCATTCTTGAGGTGATTTGTTCTGTTTAGTGTAAATGAAGAGTGAGTTTGGTCGGTACTCATCATACCTAGTTAGAACGACTGACTTGATTACATTACATTCCAATATTTGGATTGCAGCTTACCCCACCCAAACATGGCCCAGGATTTAAATGGAGTTTGAGGCGCATATGTATGCAATACTACTACTACTGCACTAATTAATAGTCAATAATCTTATTAGGCAGGGTTTGCTGCCTGCGGCTTACTTCATGCAAGCATTTGCTCTATATACAATACAACAACATCCAAGCCTTATTCCCAAAAGAGTTTGGGTCGGCTAACATGAATCGACATATGATATCAGAGTTAAAAGCAATATTCTCACTTAGGCATTGTGCTAATCTTGTTGTTGTTGTACACACGGTCGGTCAGGTGCACTCGCGAGGAAAGGCTCTGGCAAAGGACGTGGACTTTGAGAAGATAGCTAGGCGAACCCCAGGCTTCACGGGTGCTGATTTGCAAAACTTGATGAACGAGGCGGCCATTCTTGCTGCCAGGCGTGATCTCAAGGAGATCAGCAAAGATGAGATCTCTGATGCTCTTGAGAGAATCATCGCTGGCCCTGAGAAGAAAAATGCTGTTGTCTCCGAAGACAAAAAGAAGCTGGTTGCTTACCACGGTCTGTATGCTGCCCTGAGGAGTTCTTACTACTTACCCCATCCCCTTCATTTTGTTAAGTACTCAAGTTACCAAACAAATTATGTTGGGGTTTCTGATTTTACAAATGTGCCCCTTGACAAGTCAAGCATTTCATAAATGAGACTGATATATGACTCTCTTGTCTATTGTTTTATGATATCAGTAGGAACCAAGTGATTCCGGATTCGCTTGCTTACTCTTACTTATTTTCCTTTGGGAGTAAACATTCTAATCGATAATATGCAATAAGAACACAGTACTAGTAAAAAATAACATTCTCGCAAATACTCTATATTTCACCCCATCCCATAAAAAGAGTAACATTTCAAAAGTTCTGTTGTCCCAGGGAAAAAGTCTGCTTTGATCAAATAAAGGCTATTTGCCAAGTAAAACCCACATTTCCACCCACCTCTATGATAAGAACCTTCAGAATTCCAGAACAATTACAAGAAGTGTAACAAGAAATCAGCTGAAGAATCTTATTGAAGAAGATATCGATTACAGAAAAGAAACAGTGAACAAGGCCGAAGCCCCCAAAGCCGTAGCCCCAAAAGATCGAGATGTTCAGTCTCGTATCCTTCCCAGTCCCAAGACCAAATGTCTAAAAGCCTCCTTTCTAACTCCCTTACCCGTCTATTTATACTAGGGTACTCAGACCCTTATTACTAATATTATTATTAATACTCCTATTAATAGTCTAATATAAGTGGGTTCTTATCAATACACCCTCCCTAAACAACCACCTTGTCCTCAAGGTGGGATGATAGGAACCAATTCTGGAATTCCGCTTCCTCCGGGTGCCTCTCCCCTCCCAATATCTAGCTGGTGGTGGTGTCATACTTTTCCAAACTTCTAGTCCTCTATATGAAAAACTCCTGACCAGCCTCAGCCTAGCATTTGCTTCTGACTTCATCCTATCTCTTGATTGAAACTTCACACTGAATATCTCATGCAGAACTTCATTCACACACATGTTTCATTCACACACATGTCAGAAGAAGGTTCAAGAGAACTTGAGTCATACTGTGTTTCTATATTTGAATTTAAGAATTCAACAATCTCCAATTGTATTCCCCAATCCAGATCCCGAAGTAGCATTTGTTGAAATTCTTTCACCCTTGAAATTCCTCTCCATACCCATAGTTCCTGCTTCTTGCTTTGAATACTTATCCTGGTATCAGGAACACAAGAAACTCCGCTCACCGCTTTGATGTCATCTGTGGTTAAAGGTTTCAACCATAGTGGCAGAAGATCTGGTGAATCAATAACCAATTCTTCACGATGTTGTCGTGGTTTGGTCCACATTTGCCTAACATAAGGTAAAATGTGAACATCCAAAGGTTGTATGCTACCAGGAGCCCTAATAACTGGAGTTTGCTGGTAACTCTTTGGGTTCAACCTCTGTAAAAACCTTGTGAAGACTTTATAAACCTCAGGAAGTAATAGGTTATGAGCTGTCATTGCATAGATGTCTCCCAACAATTGATAACTTTCATTTTCTCTAAGGGAATTATGTAAGTCAGGTTTGGGGTAGTCTAACATGCTCTCAACCCATGGCTGTAATTATGCTGGTTGTAATTTGAGGTGTTGGCCATGGCTAGATTTATCAGCATCATTAATCTGTGTGTGGTTTTCCCGGGTGATAGCAGATTCTTCAGAAAAAAGATAAACATGACCCTTATGAATCTTTGGATCAGACTTTTCAGGAACCATTAGGACTCTTTCCTCCGTGATTTCATCTTCCTTATTCCTTTGCTTGATTACAGGTTCAGTTGATTCCATCTTGATTACAGGTTCATTTGAAACTGATGATTCAGCTGGATTCCATCTTGATTCAGAAACCTGGGACACAAGTTTTGATGACATCTGCAATTCAGTAAAAATTTATTCGGATGACGATCGAAGATGATGATTACTTAGCGAGCTGGTCAAAGCGGTACTCGATTTCAAACATGGAGTAACATTAATTCGCTTAGAAGATTGCGAATTGGAAGTTCTTCATGACTTGGATGACTCCTGTTTTGTCGTCTTCCCTGTCTTCTGTCGGTGTCTAGGTGGAAAATCCCTAATCAAATCGTCTTTTAGTGCCTCCCAACTGTCTTCTCTCTTTTGAAAATCCCACCATTGAAACCAACCATCTGCTTCTTCCCCCATAGCCTTTGCTGCCACGTCCACTTTAAATCTTTCTGCAATAGCTTGGACTCGGAAATATCTTTCCATCCTCCCAATCTATTCATACGCTTCATCCTCATAGAATAGAGGTAATTCCTCTGTCTGTGAACTAGCTGACTTCCTAGAATTTACTTTAGACGAATAAGGCGCACTCTGATGCGAAGAGAGATGATAAGAATGATGAGCAGAACTCTGCGAATAGTGACAAGAGCGATGCGAAGAATTCTGCGACTGTGAACAGTGATCGGTAGTTCGCGACTTCGTCTGTGACTCCTTCAGTGATAGCGGAGCATGCCTGATGGTCCTCGATCTTTCTCCAGTTCTTCTGCGAAGACTCTGTTCTTCTGATTCATCTGCGTCGATCGACAGTCACGTATGTCGATGATGAGAGTCGTGATAATGAGAGTCGCGATGCGACCTCGGAGGAGTGTGCGATCGATTTGAACGATCTTTCTTCGGTTTAGTAATCTCCGCGAAGCCAGCCTTCATCTTCGCTCTTAATTCCTCGAATTTTGCATTTAATTCCTTCCGACTTCTATCGATCTTCCTTTCCAGCGAATCCAACCTTCCTTCCATCGTTCCAGGTAATGAAAATTCTCTATCGATTCAGATCCTTTGCCTCCAGGAAAGAAGTTCTCTGATACCTATGATAAGAACCTCCAGAATTCCAGAACAATTACAACAAGTGTAACAAGAAATCAGCTGAAGAATCTTATTGAAGAAGATATCGATTACAGAAAAGAAACAGTGAACAAGGCCGAAGCCCCCAAAGCCGTAGCCCCAAAAGATCGAGATGTTCAGTCTCGTATGCTTCCCAGTCCCAAGACCAAATGTCTAAAAGCCTCCTTTCTAACTCCCTTACCCGCCTATTTATACTAGGGTACTCAGACCCTTATTACTAATATTATTATTAATACTCCTATTAATAGTCTAATATAAGTGGGTTCCTATCACTCTATAGTTTAAATTGATAAATTTAGTTAAACTAACAAAAGCGTTATCCCAAATATCAGTTAGTATCTGGCAGAAAAAGGTTTTCCATTGGCCAAGCAAGATTTTTTTAGTGGAATGGATGGAGTTGGTGTGAGAACGGTGTCATTTACAGCAAACTTGGGTGCTGGAAGGGGTTTCTATTTATAATTTACATAAACAGTAGGGATCATTTGATGAGGCAGATCTCTAGAGAGTTGTTACTCACATACTTCAATTGAAATTGAGTGCAGAGGCGGGGCATGCTCTAGTTGGAGCACTGATGCCAGAGTATGACCCAGTTGCCAAAATCTCCATCATTCCTCGTGGCCAAGCCGGGGGACTCACCTTCTTTGCTCCAAGTGAAGAGCGACTTGAATCCGGGCTTTATAGTAGAAGCTACTTGGAGAATCAAATGGCTGTTGCTCTTGGTGGGAGGTATTAAATTCTCAGTATTCCTAATTATGAACTTGAGTTTGTATAATAACAAAGGAAGGAAATATTTAAGTAATAATCTTGGTCCCTCTACTTTTGTGTGTGTCTCTATCACTATTGGTTCTCAACATTGAAATTGAGTATCTATTTGTGTGTTAGTTTCATTTATTTTCTTTTTACCGATCTTTGTCCTTACAAGCAGTCAAGCACTTACTCGCTGGAAAATGGACTGTATTTTGATGGATGAATTTGTATTCATCAGCGATGATTAGAATGACTTTAGGCCTTGGATGTAGGAACCAATAGGCCGCCTGGTGATAACCTACGTTGCTTACTATGATTGCTGATCAGAATGCCAAATAACCTACATTACTTACTACTACTCATGAGAAGGAAATGAAAATCAAGAACCAATATGGTTATTCTATTGGGAACAATTTGAATATAAGCTTCTTTTTTCAATATGTTCCCTCCCATGATTGATTTATTCTTTTGCAGGGTTGCAGAGGAGGTGATATTTGGAGCAGATAATGTGACCACCGGGGCATCAAATGATTTCATGCAAGTCTCGCGTGTGGCCAGGCAGATGGTAGAGAGGTTTGGTTTCAGTAAAAAGATTGGGCAGGTTGCCATTGGTGGATCAGGAGGGAACCCTTTCTTAGGTCAACAGGTAATGACTCTATATCGATTGACTCCTAAAGTGTACATCAAAACTCATGAAAATGCTGACCATAAGGGTCCTTTCTGGCACCTGGCAAGTACTTGGAGAAAATATAGGGCAAAATTAGAAGGAAAGAAAATATTAGAAAAACAAACAATAACTAAATTTCAATAAATTTATTTCAGATATTTGTTTGTATTCATTTGATATATGCACGTTCATTTAAAACTGAAAAGAATAAAACAGGAATTAATTAAATTTTATTTTCCTTTGAATTTTCCAAGGTCAAACCAAAGATAAGGGTCTGATTGTAATCCCGAAAGTGCTAGGGAAATAAAACAAACAAAATAGAGGAGAAATTTGGAAGGAAAGAAAATTAGAGGGAGAATTGGCCTAAACACTACAAATCAGTTTTTTGTATTTGTTTAAACCTGTTTTAATTATGTATATTTCTTTTCTAGAAAGACTAAGAAATCTAAGCAAATGGTAAAGCTTACATTTGTAGGTTCAAACTTGATTATCCATGGTACTTTTCAAGGTTGGTTCACATCCTACCTCCCTGTCAGTTTCCTCGTTCCAAGAAGTAGCCCGACTTTTTTCTTTTCTTTTATATATTTATAGATCCAAACATGCCTTAAACATCCAGGAAATACTACAGAGACCTAATATACAACTGCTTTTCTCCCAAGAGTGATGTTTCCCGCATTCTGTTTTCCTGCTTTTTTGGCCTGTGTTTCATTGTTAGCTGCTGTGATGATATATATGAAATGTTGAAACTCCAGATGTCGACGCAGAAAGACTACTCAATGGCAACAGCAGATATAGTCGATGCGGAAGTAAGAGAGCTAGTAGAGAGAGCATATTCCCGAGCAAAGCAGATACTTACCACTCACATTGACATCCTACACAACCTCGCCCAGCTCCTAATTGAGAAAGAAACTGTGGATGGGGAAGAGTTTATGAGCCTCTTCATTGATGGCAAAGCTGAGCTTTATGTTGCTTAATTAATAATTAGCATGTTGTGTACATATATCATCCATCAACTCACTCCCATACACTTGGTGTGTGGGTGTGTCATACGAGTGTAGAAGTATGATTAAATAAGTTTTCAATTGGATCACATTTTCTTGTTTAGTTTGTTCTGGCCTGAAACTGTAATGTGTCATATAATATGTATTTACTATTGTCTTAGTGTGGTCTAATATATTTTAAGTTTGCTCTATTGTGAGAATGAAAGTGATAATAGGAAGCATTTTGAATAGTAGTTTTGAATTGGATAAATGAGAACAAAATTCAGTCTAGTGTTCCTGTGTTGGATATAAATTCAGCGAGCAAGTTTAGAACAAAAAAGTGTTCAGACAAAATCAGATCCAAATTTCACTCCACACGCACCTTTCTAATCTCTTTTTATATTGGAAACAAATACTACTGTTTACTGTTTAGAGAATGAAGAATCAATAATCAATATCAAGGACAACATGCTTGGGGACGAATGAATACAAGGGAGTAGTAGATAACCATATCGAGTACTAAATAATGAAAGCCAAAATAGGCAATAGTAGGTGGATTAGACGAGGGAGGGACTAGATAGGGTATTTACGTTGATTATAAATGTACATATTCAGATACTTTAATTATTCTAGACAGATCAGGTTACAAATAATCATCGGACAAGAGTATCATTTTGTTGTTGCAGCAGGCTATATTGTACACTTCATAGTTCCAATGCAAATTGCACACGCATGAACCAAATGATACAGAAAATTGGGCTTTTTCTGGTCACAACAAACACATGACCGATGCTGCGATGCAGTGTGGGGGGTTCAGAAAAAGAACAAGTGAAGGACAAATCAAGATCCTCTTCCGCCTTTTTGGCGCTTCTCTTCTAAACTCGAAGCCTCATTCAACATATCAGCAGCATCTTTGTGCATATCTAGCTTAAACAGAGCAACCGCCTGCATATAGAATGCGGTTGACCAGTCTGCATAGACACATTGTGCCTGCATCGCATCCCGTAGAGCTGCATCCGCCTGATCACACATTATATAACACAAGCTCCTCCGTGCATAAACCGTTGGTGAGACCATTGTACCCACATCTATGAACTGTATGAATCGCAATAAATTAATAAAAACATTAAGATAGATACCTCTTGTACATCCATAAAAACCTAAATATTATTGTTATTACGCGATGTGTGGAGTGTGTACTCAGGGGGTTTGTTGTAATAACACCCTTCTAGCTACAATTATTCTGGTCTAGCTGCTACCTCTCCTTGAGTGTTGGGACATTTAAGCCTGGCATAATTCCACTTAGATCCCACCCAACGGCGACTAATCCTTGATTGATTAGACACGACACTATGTCCCACTCTGCAGCCTAATAAACACCTAACACTTTTACAATAAACATAAGAATCCAAATTAAGAAGCTTCACAACTCCTACGGTACTTCCCTCCCTATGCAGAAAGGAATAAAGATGAATGGAATTCAAATTCCATTTTGAGGGAAGATATCTTTCAGCACACAGAACTATGGAAGAAAGTCAGAAACATGGAAATGGTCAAAGGAAGGAATTACCAAGAAAAAGCATTTCTAGTCGTAAGTGAAACAAAGTTCAGTTTCTCAACCAAAGTTCACAACATGTGGTTAGTGATCCAGGCAGAATCAGCATATAATTCTTTTTTATCTTTTGCATTTTTTGCACCACCGTAGAAATATAGATTCACAAACGAGAGAATAAACCAATAAAACGAAAACTTGTCCCAAGTTAAGAGGAAGCACAAGTATGCTAATGTAATCAATACTCCGTACATCCAAAATTAAATCTTATTAGGTCAAAATGTAAATTTTAAATTCTGTCAAGGCACAATTGTTAAAAGCCATGTAATCCAACTTATACATAACAAAATTTATTTGCACATTTATCTGAACCTATCATATTTAACTTGTCTGTATTTGAACGGTATTGATACTCTACTTGAGCTGCTCAATGAGTAACAGAGTAACTTGAATAAACCAATCAGGTAATAAGTTGGCAGTTCTTGCATTATAGAGAATTAAGAAAACAAATGCAAAAAGTACCTGAGAGTAACAATCTATAGCGGTTTTGAAGTCCTTGTCCCGGAATGCAAAGTCACCACGCTTCCTTGCCTCCAACATATCCCTCATTTGTTGAGTCCACTCTTGGAAAGATAACTGCGTAATTGGCAGTCAATCATATAAACATGGACCTATTTGAAATAAAAAATACAACTTCAGTTCAGAAGATTACCTCATTTGTCCCTTCATCATCCTTGTAGTGAGCTGTTACAAGAATTTGGTGAATTGCTGTGAGATCCATTCTTGAACAAGCATCACGCATGGCAGACATAGGGTGTTGTTGAGGAATGGGTGGAGCTTCTTCTTGCTTTGGAATTCCAAGCATCACATATGACAGGACCTGCCAACATTGTTTTAAGAGAGAACGGGTCATAAGACATCAAAATTTACTTTAAATTTATTACAAAGTATGTGTGTACATATATATATATAATTATATATATATATATATATATATATATATATATATGTATGTATATGTGTAGAGTAATGATCCAATCAGGCCTTCCTGACCGGAGCCTCCGTCCGGTCACCTCCATTTTAGGTGGTTTCTGGTGGAGATGTTTTATAAAATTTTGTGAGAATATTCTTCATGAAGTGTAGATTAGCTTAAAAATCAATCTCGAGGTCAGTTATATAAAATATTGAGAAAAAGTGCGCCAAAATACATATAAGAAACAGTGTTTACACTAATTTATTTAATTGACTACTCGATTGAATTTTAAGCTGAAATTTTGCGGACATAATAATCTACACTTCATGAAGAACATCCTCAAAAATATTTAGAAAAAAATCCATTGGGAACAACCTCAAATGGAGGCGTTCGGAAGGAGGATCCTGTGTGAACAACCTGACAAGATCTTTTTCCTAAGTGTGTGTACATATATAGTGATCTTCCGGTCGACCGGAACCTCCATCCGGCCGCCGCGAATTGATGAAATTTTGTGAGCATGTTCTACATGAAGCGTATTAAGCTGATATAACGCAGTATTTTATGTGAGATGTATTTTGTGAGCATGTTCTAAATTTTGCGAACTTCATGAAGCATATATAACACAGTATTTTACCAAAATTTATTGAACTGACTCTACCCGATCGAATTTTAAGCTAATATAGTGGTGTTCCTGTCAGGTTGTTCTGACAAGACCCACCTTCCGGCCAAGCCCGCTTGAGGGGTTTCCTAGGTCGAATTTTTTGACCATGTTTCCCATTGTAAATTGAGTAATATAGATTAAAGATGCAATGAAATCACTATCTATTATTCATTGGGTGTAGCTGGTATAAATACATACAACCTAGAGAGTACAAAAAGGAAACTAAAACTGCCAAATTTACAGAGAATAGAATATTGGAAAAACTGTCAAATAAGTCTGCGTACTTTTAACAAAAAGTCAATTGAGTCCATATACTTTTTTTCGAGTCAATCAAGTCCATCAACTATCAAAAAATGACCAAATCAGCTTTTTAATAGGTTGCTAACCGGTTACCCAGTTAACGTCTACGTGGATGTTCCAGCTGGCATTTTTTTACTGTTTTCCTTTTTTTATTTTCCTTTATTTTTCTTTTTTCCTTTCTCTTCCTTTTTTCTCTTTTTTCTCTTTCTTCGTCTTTCTTCTTGGTCCGCTACTCCACTCCTCTCCTCCTTTCCCAGTCCGGCAGCCCTCTTCTCCTCTCCAAGTCCGGCAGTCCCCTGCTGTCCACCATAACTCCGATAACTCCGACTACTCCGTCAATCCCACAGGGACAAACTCTGCCCCCAGGCCTCTCCAGCCACCACATCCGCCGCCCAGGCCTCTAGCTCCAGCCACCACCTCCGTCTCCCAACCTTCATAGCCACCGGCCCACCGCCTTCGGAGTACAGCCTCCACCTTCACCTCAACCACCTCTTCTTCCGTACACACCGCCACCGGCAACCACCTCCGTGGCCTTCCCCTTCGCCTCGTCCATTGAAGCGATGATAGAGACATGACCTATGGGCTTAATATTTTAATAAACTGTAATAGTGGGTTGGGCCAAGTGATTAGATAGATTGAGGGAAGCCTCATTTGGAAAAGAATAAATAGAGGGAATAGAAGAGTCTCTATCGTTTCTTTTCTTCTTTCCGTTCTCTTTGCACGACAATTTCCATCATCGGCCATTGTAATAGCTTATGTACTCAGTTTTTTAGAATTAGTATACAGTAATTTTCTGGTTCCTATCATTGGTATCAGAGCACTCAATTTCCTGGAGTCTTAATCGACCTTCAAATGGAGAAGCTCAGGGAACATCGACGGTCAGAACAGAAGGTGGTCGCCTCTGGTTTGTACGTGAAAATTGAGAAGCGCAGGGCAACGCAAAAGGGGAAGGAACCGCATAGAAGATCCGATCATGATGCCTCGCGCGGAAAAATGGGGAAGTGTGCAAACCTGGAGATTGGCTTGAACAGCGAGAAGCACGCGAAGAGCAATGAAAAGGTAGAAAGCAACTGGGCGAAGGAGATGAGGATCTGGTTAGACGAGATGTGCACCAAGCTGCGCAAACGTCACCAGCGAGGACGATCGTGGACCGTGCGTCGCTGTCAGAATTCAGAAAGCAAAGCTTCATCGCCATCGCAGATTGACTCTAATAGTTCGCAGGTTACTTCGCTAACAGCTTCTTCTAGTTCGCTATGGAGAACGGCTTCCCTCATTTCGCAGGCAAATCCTTCCGGTTCACCATCTTCAAGGCGAACAGAGTTCACCAGTTCACAAGTTTCGTCGTCGCAGCAAACAGATCTCCCTTGTTCGCAGGTTTCACTGCAGATATCCGCCTCTCACTGTCCTCAAGTTGAGTCAATTTCATTCCCGCAGCAGTCTGTGAGTCAGGGACAACCTTCATATGAAGATACGTTCACCATTGGTGACGAGGAACGAGAGGAGAAATTTTCCGTGGTGACTCCACCCTCGATTGCTATGGAATATAAATTGGCTGCTAATAAAAGTGCTGGTTCAAATACTACTGAACTGGAGCACAAAGTGGTTCCTGATATTTCTATAGGCTTAGCTCAGCAGGAAGCCACTACTGTCACAGGACAGGTAGACGAGTTTCAAGCTACCTCGAATACTGCTACTATTAAGGGAATTAATAGCGAAGAGAGAGTTCTTCCTAACAGTGCTGAGGATGATCTGAGGGTCGCCAATCTAGGGCAAAATTCTGCTAGAGAAGATGGTAATTCTTCTCTGGAGACCAAGCTGCTGTCGATGGGTGATATGGGTGATCCTGGCAAAGATGAAGTTACTGTCAATCATAGGCAACTGGAAGATCAGATAAAAGTCACAACTACTACAGATGATGAGAAGAGGGAGTCTACTGTGATCACAATGAAAGAGAAAGCACTGAATAGGTTTCCGTGGGGAAAGGAGCAGACAACTGCTTATACCTGGGAACCTGTGAAGGAAGCAGTTAACATGACTCGACCAGAATGGGTTCAAAATTCATTTGCACTAATGTTTAGCTTTGAACGGGTAGGCACAGTACTGAAATTCAGAGATGAAGACAAGAGGGGGTGGAAGGAAAAAGGAGGTTGTATGTACAAACCTCAGTATGGGGTGGAAGGATTGAAAAGGACACTTACCAGTAATGTTGAGGGAGGTACAAACCGCCAAGTCTTGCTTTTATGCTATGGTTTCCAAGTTTGGAATGTGGAAGAACCTGGTGGTGTTCAAAATTTAGTTTCCAAGCAGGATGGTACTGTTCCATTCATGCAAGGTTCACCCAATCCAATTTTGTCAAAGCAAAATATGGATGAAATTGCTAATAGTTGGCCATTGTTGATAATATGTGTTGATGTTCTAACTATTGTTCGGTTTTATCACGTGAGATTTCACTCTTGTTCACTTCATGTGAAGTTCAGATCAGTTGTTCATCTTGTGAGGTGCAGCTCTAGAGTGGTTACTGTCCTACCAGCAGCTCAGATACACTGTTGTAGTGAAGCAGATTTAGAAAGGGGTTGTAATTTTGTCACAAACCCTGTTGCTAGGGGCTGTTCGGGAACTGGAAACCTGGGCATTGGAACTCTTGCTGTTGGTTTTAGGTGGATGGCTTATACTGGAAATCCAGTTTCTATACCTGCCTGGGATTCATCACTTTATACACGACCTGATAAGCCTAAACATGATGTCTGGAAGGCACTCAAATTATTCATTGATGCAGGAGCCGGGCCTGCGGGAAGACTCACTTACAGAGGTAAATTGGTAGACTGGTCAGTAAATTGGTAGACTTGACCAGACAGTCATTGTCCAAGCTTGCAAATCAGATTTACATTGATACAAGAACTGTTTTCATAGAGAAGGAAAATATGGAGTTCAAGATTGAGGATGTGCTAATGGAAGAAGGAAATACTCCAATACTTACTCTCATTGTTTGTCTGATAATAGTGATTCACTTACATGAGCGTCAACAAAGACAAGTTGCTGCAATTGCTGGAGAGACTCATCCTTATCTGCAGGATTCTGACAGAATGAAGCTTGTTGGTGAGAGACTTAGACACATCTTTACTGGTGACAAGATGTACATTGAAGAGGCTAACAGAAGTATACAGAAATTACGGTTTGAGTTTTTCCAATGGCTTGCATAAAAGTTTTGAGTATGGTTGGATCCCTGGGAAGATGTTGAGGTGTTATTATAACGGGGATTTCAGATCAGAGGCTTTTGAACTTGTTCAAGGTCTTGACCAAAGTAAGGTAAATTCTCTTGAAAAGATGTTGGAACAGAAGCAAATGATACAACAGGAGATGCAGACGCTGGGAGATTCAATCTTTTGCAACATCAGGGAGCATTCTGCCACCAGGACTTTGCTTCTGCTCCTTCTTGCAGTGAAGAACATGAAGATGCAGCTTCAAGTACGGGAGCTAAGGGTCCGAAAATCTGGGAGGTACTGGGAAGGAAGGGGCACGAAGATGAAGCTGGATGGCATGGCTGCTCATACTCCCCACCTTGAGGACAAGGTGGTTGTCAAAGGGGGGAGTGATGATAGAGACATGACCTATGGGCTTAATATTTTAATAAACTGTAATAATGGGTTGGGCCAAGTGATTAGATAGATTGAGGGAAGCCTCATTTGGAAAAGAATAAATAGAGGGAATAGAAGAGGGAGAGGGAGGGAGAACTTTGGATCTGGATTGGGACTTGGGAGTGTTGAGACTACTCGAAGTGTCTCTATCGTTTCTTTTCTTCTTTCCGTTCTCTTTGCACGACAATTTCCATCATCGGCCATTGTAATAGCTTATGTACTCAGTTTTCTAGAATTAATATACAGTAATTTTTTGGTTCCTATCAAGCGACCTCCAACCGCGCCGGCATCCATAGCCGCCGCCCTGAGCC